TATAAAACTGATGCAATGTTTCCGACTAAATGTCGAGAAAATCAGCCTTGTTTAAACACGAAGACGCACTATAAAAGGAGAGGTACCTAAGGTACCTCGAGTTTATTTGTCAATCAACAGCGAACGAGACAATAGCTGAAAATTAGTCGTCAGTGGAGAATAAATAATGTTTCGTTTTTCTTTCTATAAATCATTCTAAATCCCACGGAATAATGACTAGTTTCTTGAAATATTTCGGTGTGCAAGAAACAGCAAAAGAACATAGAATCAACCTCGATTCCAGGCTCTCTCTCCTTTTCCTCCCTTGTCGTTGAGTAGAGAGACCCTGGTTGCGGCTGGTCACGTGACCACCCAGATTCTGGGTGGTAAAAAAATATATTCGGAGGGAGGGGTGGTAGAGTGTTAGAGTTGTTGCTGTGACAAATCTACCATGAGAGGGTGAGAGCGTTGACTCTGAGTCGCAACTCGCAGACGCAGCAGGTCTTCAAACAACTCGCAAGAAAAGAAAGCACCAAAAAGTTTGTACATATGCTTACATGTGGTTATTCAAGCTTCTACAGGCTTTGCCAGGCCGAAGATCACTGCGATAATCTTTTCTCGGAAACTGCTTGCGTAATTCTCAGAACTGCACAACTACGACGATCGATCGGACGTTTTACAACGGAATTTTGTCCACGGAAGAAAGCCGATCATTTCAAAAATTAAGTTTACATGTAAGCTTGGTATGTGAACAGCTTTAAGGTAACGAGTTTAAGTGATCGTTAAATTGTATTCACTGCAAAAACTGCCGATGGAAAAAATTCCTTCGTACAGTCCGTTTGACATAAGCTTAATTATTTCGTGCCGTACAAGTTTGTTGATTTTCAAGGAACCGCTTCGAGCGGTTGTTGTTGTAGATTTTTTGACACAAGAAAACTATATTATGGTCAAACTAACACAGAATCAGTAAGCTACTCTTTTATCCTAAAATTTTGGACTATTTCGCTCCAAATGAATTTGTAAATGAATGCCGTTGTGTTTTATTTAGAGGCACTTCGCAGGGTCAGCTGTGAACGAGCTCGCCAAGCTTATTGTCTGGTTTACATCGATCGTTTAGCTTTACGATCATGAACCTGTCTACTTAGTGTAAAAGTGAATCTGAAGTCGATGGTTCATCGTTATATTAAAGTGCAACTAACGCCAAAATTTTTTATTCGTTTAAATAAATGTACTTGTTATTTGAAACTTAACTGCGAAATTTGTTTTGGATTTTGTTGAATCCTCGATTTTCTGTGTCCCGGCAAAGTCACCAAAAACGCCTCCATTTTTGTTCACGACCGCGTTTTTGACTGGGAATGAGTTTAGCGGCTTGTGACGTAAGCCCGGGAACCTTAGATCCTTCGCGTCCACTCATTTCCTTCAGGAAGATGCGATACACATTCGAAAAGTGTGTAGAAACTCCTTCCAGGTGCGTTATTGGCCGTTGCAGCAACACCCCAGATTTAGAGAAAGGTATACTATACCATTTTATAGCGATCGTCGATAAATACGAAAAAGACGATGGATTTTATAATCTCAACGAGCGAAGTATAAAGTGGGACTGTGAGAGCCATTGATCAAGAACTCTGAAATTTGTCCGCGCACTTCTAGCAGGCCGACTTCCAAAGGCTATTTAACCCGGTCAAAGCCAACTAGCAATTCGACCAAATTTTACCGATAACCTATCTCCATCGCTGCTAAAAGATAGCCAGAAAATTCAGTAGCTCGAGCGTCGATCCGTGATATCGCGCATCTGTAATGGCGTTAACATTTCTTCCTCGTGCGAAGCAATTTCGGGAATATTGATGAAAGTCAAAGACGAATTTCTTTTGAAGGATAAAATAGTAAAATGACAAAAGATTTGAACTCCAAAAGTTTTTCTGAGGCCGGGAAATAAGCGGTGCGATAAACCGTATACTCATCGTAACATTAATGCGGACCACCGTGGGAACACCACTTCCATTTCTTACCGAGGAGAAAAAGTCATTTATTTGACGGTTTTTACTTCAAAATTAACTTAGTTCACTCTGGTGGTTATTTGGAGTAGCAACGACAAACGTTTGAGGATGTCAAAACTGTAGTGATGTGGCTTGTTTCCTTTCAGCTTTGCTTCAATTTCCAGCCGGTAGCTTATAAATTTTGTGTTCGCAAGGCGAATTTTCCATTCTCGTAATTTTCGCGCCCGCTGCTTTTGTGGCTCGAAAATATCCGTCACGTATACATGTTCATGTCATGAAGTTGTAAAGAATAAAAACAAACGTTCCATACAAATAGCCTGTTTCACTTTAACATAATCTTGCCGTATAAAATGCTGTTCCATTTTGAACCAAACTCGATTTGCCCCTTCGATCCCTTGGTTAGTGATTATTGTTCACCTTGACAAAACGGCCTCAAAGACCCACCCTCCCTGCGGTATTGTTGTAACCGCATAGTCACGTGACAGGGTCTCTCGGCCGGAGGAAAAGGAGAGAGAGCCTGGAATCGAGGTTGACATAGAATATTATCATAACTAACGTGCGTGACTGTTTACGCTGACACAACTCGCGAAATTCAAACTCGGTCATGAAAGTTTCATATTTGAAGTACATAATTTTGAATTATCTGTTCTAAAAGTTTTAATTCACATCTTACCGAGAACAAACGAGGAAATTTGAGACAGTATAAGGTTTATGTTCATAGTGGATACACAAATTGTAAAGGAATACAAGAACATTACAAAGCTCTAGCCTCCAAGTGCAATACTAAAATGCTAATTAGATGGAAAGTATGAGGAAAGTAGGAGGAGCTTAGCCTTTTATAGTGCGTCTTCGTGTTTAAAACTAATAGGATGCCGAAATTGTTGCCATGGTAACCTCTGTTGTTTGGAAACCAGTGGAAAATAAAACTATCATCATGTCATCATTATGGTGTAGCATGGCAAAGATCGAAGTTTGCCTTTTGATCAAATGTTTGTTTTCAAAACTCTCACCCCATCGCTAAAAAAACTACATCAAGCCACCTTATTAAGTAATTGTCAAAAGCGATCAACATGCGCTTTGACATTTGTTTCTTCATATATTTCAGTCGTATTCGCCGAGGTACTAGGACGACGAAGATGAACAACAAGATAGCCGCTGACCCATCCAATTTGTGCTCAAGGCGCGATTTTAAAATCAATGGCAAACACGTCTTCGCGATCTGCTCATCGCGCCACTCTCGTTCAATGCCTAGGACTGCGCGGGCTTCAGCAATCACGCAATCGTTCGCTCGACGGCAGCGGATTACTGGAAAAAGAGAATGTGAACATGACCACGCCCTCACCGCGGTCAAATGCTCGAGCATGCGCAAAGGTGTAAATTATGATCGTTCGCGCGTCAATTTCCCGAGCAAAATTTAAAAGAAAACCATTGGATCAATCCGGTGTCACGAAAAATGTGCGAGAAAAAGTAATTTGCGAAAGGAAACAAAAGTAGGTAAAAGGAGAAGTTTAGACAGTTCAGTATATTTCCAGCATTCTGATGATTTACCATTTTTAACGTTTGCCAAAAACGTTAGGCGTGTTTAAAACACAGTGTAATGTTGAGGTTTGTCAGCGCAGCTATTTTTGTTTGTTGTTACGACATTTGACTGCGGTGGCCATGCCAAGCTTTAGCAGTTCAATGGGGGTCGTTCTGTATTCCAAACAAGGCGATCCCGTGGTTCTTCGCCATTGTCCGGGAATGTGGCTGCCGTTGAACATGCCCGTGCCGTCACGTGATAAAGCACGTGCTTGAAATGCGTTTTGCACGTGGTTGTCATATCACTTACACGAATAAAACTTACAAAAAAGAAAACGCGAAGGCGCGCTACAAAAGGAAGCTTTCCAGGGAAGACCAGGGCTCATTCGTCAATCAACAGCGAACGAGACAATAGCTAAAAAGTACTGAAGAAGAAAATCCCTCGGTTTTCTTTTCTAATTATCCTAAACCTAGCAGAACTATTTGCAACAAAAATACATGTAACTAGCAAAAACATACAGAATTTTGACCATTCTCGTCCCCAGAGGCCACGATCCTTTTGGTCAGCACCACGTGGGTATTCTTTTCATCTTTGCTGTTTTGGGAATTCGTCAACCTCGTCCCCAGAGTCTTCTCGACGTTCAAAATGGCGGCGCGAGGAAGACCCTGGCGAACAGCAGGTCACGTGTCTCCAAAAATATTGGAGATTTCGATTGTTTCAAAATGGCGGCGGGCTCACGATTGGCTAATTTGTGGTCACGTGATCTGCTGTTCGCTAGGGTCTTCTTCGCGCCCACCCGCCATCTTGAAAGCGGAGATAGCCCTGGGGACGAGGTTGGGAATTCGTTCATGATAAAGTTTACAAGTTTGGACTTCGAAAGCGAGGCTTGGTGGGGAAATTCGCTAGTCTGACGTAATCATGCATAAGAGATATTCAATATATCACGAGGTTGGACTATCAGAACATGACCTATGTTCGAGAGTTGAATAATTGAGTGTCTTCTAATTTGTGCAATGATCAGAACACTTTTAAAATTGGGGGCTGTTAAAATAATAAATATGATTTAACAAATAAAAAAGCCTCAACTGTGCTCTGTTCTGTTATAAAGCACGTAGGAAGCGGCGAGAGCACGAAAGAAGTGCAGGGGGAAACACGAGACGATAGGCGAGTGTGTACTTCGTGAGTGCTCTCGCCGCTTCCTAAGTGCTTTATAATAGAACAGAGCACATTTGAGGCTTTTATATTTGTGTTATGACAAAAATCTATGATTTTCCTAACAAATTCGCCTTTATTTTCAAAACAAACTCGGCGGATGTAGTGAGCATCGTACTCTCATAACGCACGCTGTTTTAACCAATCAGAGCGCGTGTAATATAATTACAAAAATCTATTTTGTTCTTTCCACCGCGCATGTCATATATGATTTATTTTATATATTCATCATCCCTCATTTGCCACTTGACAGGCCCGGTATAAATAGAACTCGCAATTGATCAGCTCCCAGTGGCTTCATAGCTCAGTGGCAGAGCTTTTGCATGGAATTAATCGCAACATGGGTTCGAATCTCGTTGAAGCCTATTTTTTTTCAGGCTTTTTTTTTCCAACTGCTTGTTGTATAACTGCAGTGCAAGCAGTTCCTCTGAGTTTCGCTCGCTCGCACAACAATCTTACGCAGGGTCTGTTTGCAGACTATGGAAGCTACGGTACGGTGACTGTTGTTTGGCCTGCAATTGTTCCGTCATTTCGCGCGCAGTGATTGAACATTAAACAACTCATTTATAATGCTAACAGTAAAAACCTGCATTTAAGAACCCGTATTTTCCCAAGGCAGGCTGAAATCAGTTTCTTATATATTGGATGCCTAGTTAGAAATCTGGCTGTTTAGGTTCTTATATTAAATAGGTTCTTATTTTTGACAGGGTAATTACGGCTTGCTGCTGGCCTCCAAAGTACATTTTGGTCTAAGCCTGTGTTTTCTGAGTTTTACTATTTTTTCCAAATAAGAACCTGCTTCATTTGTCAGGCTGAAGTGGTTCTTATATATTGGGGGTTTAATCCACAGTTTCTTATATGCGGGTTTTTACTGTATTGTATATTTGTTATAACAAACAAACAATGTACTGGAAAACTTTTTTATTGATAGCTGCAGCACACTAAGTTTCCAGTATCAGCTACACAGCTGTAACAGCTTACAATACCCCGTTTACACAAACTAATCTATGTTTAGTTAAAATAGTTTAAAAATAAAATCAGTAGCAGAAACAGAAACAGAAAAGCTACATTTTACGCTAAAATAAAACCCCACTTAGGAACTTTCAATAACCCTCATCAAAGTTGATAAAGGGAAATAGTTATGAAGCCTGACAAAGTTCTTTGTTTCATGTTTTTGTTCGCTTTTTTGGCCTTCACCGTGCACAAAACACAATAGTTTTGAGTTCTGCCCGAGTAACCAACCAATAGAAACGTTTCGGTTACGTAATTCAACCATAGTGTGTGAGCACAAAACAAAAGATTGTGCACGGTCGTGGACCTTCCAACATAAATCTTGGCATCTTTCTTTGCTCCTTTCAAGTTTACCGCGGGTCGTTAGATTAATAAGCGCGAGATAATGAATAGTATAGAAAGTACCACTGCCGCCACGCTATAAAACTCTTTGAATCATTTTTGACATGAAGTTATCCCATTGAAGTTATCACAGCATAGACTGACTGCACGTGCAGATGTTGGCTCTTTGATTGGTTAAAAAGTGTGAAAAACCAACAGAAAGACGACAAAAGATTGTACAAAAATTAATTAAAAAATCGCCAATACAATGTAACAATAGCATCTTGTTACATAATACCCAATAATATATTTTCAGAGAACAACAATTAACGAATCAGCTTGTTCGCACCAATATGGGAATTGTCTTTGTTTAACTCTGAAATAATAAGCTTAATCATGTTACTCCACCGTTCGAGTTAGCCTTTCTGGGCTTGTACCGATTAACTCTAAACGCTCCATACAGTGATTTGAGGAACATGTTATCAAGATTCAATTAACTTCTCCCAACTAGTACTGTAACAAGTCTATAGAGACCAGTAAGGAGAATTTATGTATTCATAATGTTACTCCACTGCTCTCTGTATTATGTTTAAAGCTCACCTGACAAGCATCACCTTAATCAGATTGCACCTTTATGTTTGACCCATTTTCAAATTAGATCCTAAATGTGTCCTAACATAACCTTCCCTTACAAGGCCATGGTCAAGAGTAAGTTACTAATCCTACTCTCCCGGGCAGGGGGGGGGGGGGGGGGGGGGGGGAGCTCCCATATAAAAGTGACAGGGGTGATCGTCGGAAATCTTGAAAGGAGCCCCTTAAAGATACCAAAATCTCGCTTTGTGCGTGTGGTTCGAATTCATTTTAACTCCTATAGAGGTACCAACTGTCCGGCTTAATACCGGGATAACTCTAACTGTGGCCATTTTAGATTCAAACACCCTAAGCGGTACCAAACCACGAATTTTAACCCGTAAAAGGTACGACGATCACCACCGTCACGTTCATATGGTAGTCCCCCCGGGCCTACTCTGTAATACCAAATACAAACCTCGCAGTGTAACACCAATGCTATTCTCAAACGAAAACCAAGAAAATGCTAAAAGATTAGTAATAAACTTGATTTGCTCCAATTTTTGTTCTTTTACATTCCCTGGTTAAATTGAAGTATTTTCATTTGTCTCGTGCATATCGCGAGGAAAAAACAAATTACAAGCGAGGTGTTACACTGTTCGGTGACAAACAAATCATCGAGAGTAAATGTAGTTATATGTAAACTAGAATGTGCCATCACCTGGGCATTTATACCGCACTTGCATCCCGCACAAAGCGGAGAAAAGAGAGCGTGGAATGGTGTTGATTGTTTATAGGAAACTGGGGAGGATATAACCCACATTCACAAACTGAAAGGATTTTTCTATTGTCGGATATTTCGTCGCTTAGTGCAGTCTATATCAGGGATTGATTGGTTGGTTGGTTGGTTGGTTGGTTGGTTGATTGATTGATTGATTGATTGATTGATTGATTGATTGATTGATTGATTGATTGATTGATTGATTGAGCTGCATTTGTTATAAGGTTTTACGAGGCTCTTAATAAATTTTAAAGTGATATATTGTGCGGCACGTGGTTTGATTTTTCTATACTAATGTAATGGTCACCTGACCATGGCCAGCTGTTTTATAACAACATTCATTTTGTTGATTTTTTCCAGCATTGTAAGATCCTCCCCCTCCCCCACAGGAGTCATTTTCATTATCTCCACTGCTACCTCCAGAGTACCCCCCTCCGCCTCCAGCACCCCCACCCCCTCCATAGGGACCAGCCCCTCCTCCATAACCACCGTAGATATTGTTATATAAGGATCTTCCACCCACCCCTCCCTGAAGAAATCCTTTGCCTCCTTCTCCACCTTTTCCCATGGTACCACCAAAGCTCCTGGCACTTCTTCCACTGGAGTAAAAACCGCCACCGCCACCGCCTAGAAACACATCAAATGTAAAATTGAAATTTTGCTATATCTTTTTATTATTTCGATGTGTCTTGCATGTAATAATGAAAACCCAAGGGCGGGGGATCCATCAACCCCCCCCCCCCCCCCCCCTCCGTATACAAGCTTTTCCATAAAAAAAAGTTTCTTTGAGTTTTTACTTAGCTTTATTGATGATACTCGACTCTTGAATTTATATTATTATATCAGTTTGTATCACCACAATATTAAATGCCTCTGATGTTGATGAAATGAAAGTGCTTACACAATATACTCTCACCTGAATTACCACCATCAGCAGTCTTTGCACCTTGTCCATTGCTCCCCCCTGACCATGATCTGTACCCAGGATTCCCTGTGGTGTTTGTGGAGGCATCACATCCTGAATGCCTTGAAGTGACAGTTTCCATGCCTCCTCCGCCTCCAGCTATTATCAAAGGCGTGTTGCTTCCTCTCACTACAAATGTACCTCCACCGCCTCCAGCAGAATTAGAAACGCCGTTGATTCCTCCTTCTTGACCAACAAGAATTTGAATCTTTTCACTTTTGGATAAGCGGAAAGTTCCCATCAATCTTGCTCCTCTTCCTCGGTACTGACCATTGTAACTATTTTGACCGTACCCGCCTGCTGCTCCTATTGCTTCTATTCTGTAGTCACCAGTGTACGGCACAGTCCACTGTTGAATACCGCTGGACAGTGTAACTTGACCGTCATGATCCTGACCTCTGTAGTGACTACCAAGTGATGTTGGACCATATCTTCCACTCGCACCCAGATTTGTAAACACAGCTTTGAACGCTGAGTAAGAAAGAAAAGAAAAAGTTTAAAACTTTAACAGTAGTAAAACTGTTCATCTGGTTACTATAAGGTTGGTCTTACTGGCTCAATGCATAGCAGTTGCATGTCATAATTGGGTTATTCAGCAATATCCATTGAAGTGGAGTCTGAATAGCGAAGAATATTTACCGCGCCGCAAAGAGGCGAGGTATTAAAATATCCTCCGTAATTCATAGATACTGAGGTGAATCAGTAATGTTTTAGTATATGCCAAACCAGTGAAATATAGCCGGCCCCAAAATTATAGCTTTACCCTAACGACGAAAAGATAAAAAATAAATAAAGTTGACATTACTTTATTTCATACAATTCCATTTTTAACGAGAAACCTGGAATAATTCTGCCTTCTCTTCACACATTCTTTTGCAGGAGAGGAGTGGATTAGCAAACATCTACCTTATTATAGGAAATGAACGCTCGTGTTAATTAACGTATTTGAAATTAACGCGACTTAAATTAACGCGAATTGGAGGGAATATTACTTCCGAATAAAGGAAATTAACGCGAAAGAGGAGGTAAAATTTCAAAATGAAAGAAATTAACGCGATTGACACAAAAAACAAAACAAAGATTTTTTGGCTGAAATACAAGCACTCAGATGTCGAGAACTGCCCTTCTGAAAGCGAGGGTGAACTGGAAATATTGTAGTACAGTGTGCAGAAAAGAGTTGTTTTCTATGTCTGTACAGGATCCAGAATTTGAGGTTATAATAATGGAAATTAAGGTCGTGGAAATTAACGCTCCACTTAATTAATGTCGCAGAAATTAACGCTCACAAAAATTAACGCGACTTAAATTAACGGGAATTTTCAAAATTCGCGTTAATTTCAAAATCGGGTTTCAACAAAACACTGACCCCCAGTCGTCCCAGTCAACTGACCCCTTACTGACCCCCTGTACAGCTCCGCAAATGATCCCGGGACCGCAAATGATCCCCGACCGCAAATGATCCCCAAATTGGACCGCAAATGATCCCCGACCGCAAATGATCCCCAGAATGGACCGCAAATGATCCCGCTAAAAATCGAGGAATGGCGTGGACGGTGGACGCGATTTTTTTCCGATTTTGAATATTTTCCCCAATAACTGAATCTGTGCACGCTAGTCATTTTTAGGACGGAAGTGATATATATTGATGCAGATTTTAGAAAAAAAATGAACTCAAAATCACTGAACGAGAATACCAGATATATTTTAAAAATAGTTAA